AAAGTGTGTGAGCCAATAAAAAGCATCCAGGTAGCTCTCATCTAAAAAAAAAAGGAAATGTGATTTCTGACATGTCTAGAAAGTTGCTCTTTTCTACTCCTCCAAGAACCTAATATTTAGCCAGAGTCTCGCTCTCCTGACATTCCCTGTGGTAATGGTCCAGGCTCAACCATCTCTGAAGTCAGCCACACATCTAGGTGACAGCAACAGGAACCACAAATCAGGGTCGCACAGAGAAGAAACTGCAGCACACAGATCACAGACGACAGTTTGACTTGGGGTCACACTTCTGCAAAGCAAATCTCAAGAGTTCTTAGTCTAAGACTTACAACAGAATGATGCACTGCTGAATACTCTGTTAACTTCTGGAACTCAGAACAGATACTACCTACAGGAAAGAGCCAGAGCCAATGTGTACAAAAAATATCATTTCTCCCTTAGGAAATGTTCTAAAAAATACATTTTCAGATCCAAGACCATACAGCTGCTGATTCCAGCCTAGTTGTTCTTGCATCCTCATCTTAGCCCTCTTATGGAACTGTTCTATTTCAGATGGAGAAACTGAGGCAGAAGCTAACTGACGCAGGGTCACAGAGGCAGCTAGTGGCAGAGTCAAGATCAGGTGATGAGCCCAACAACAAAAAGAGAAGGCTGCAGAGGGTCTGTACAAGCAAGATATGAGTCTTCCAGGCCACTTCCCATGAAACAGCCAGGGATTACCATAGTTTGGTGGCTCTCTGTGTTGTGTCCCTCAAACAGGTCTTTGTCAAAAGCTATTTCACCAAGGATCTGCAGTTCAGTTATATCTGTTAGTAACTATAAGAATGAAGGGGGGAGAGGGGAAAACATATTTTAGACAAGGGCATTATGGTTCTGTACAGCAATCATCATCTTTCCCTATAAATGTGTCCCTTCTCCAAAATGCCTCAGCCAGGTTAATGGCTTCAGTAACCACAAAATTCCCCAAGTCATTTAACTTCACGTCACACGCCCACTCACCTGCCCCAAGTCAGGCCTTTACAATTTTTTTTAACCTCCCTTGCAACTATCCCTTGTTCTCCATCCCCACTGCTGCTCCTTCAGCTCAGATGCCATCACTCTCATCCAGGTAACTGCAACATGTTAAACTTGCAGTTTAACTTCAGGATGGGTGCTCAGTGAAGACTTCTCTAAAAAGGTAACATCTGAGCTCCAGATAGGAAGAAGCCACACACATGTAGATGGGGGAGGGGGGTGGCAGCGCACTGCCATGCAGAAGGATCAAGTACAACCATCCTGTGGCCAGAACACTGAGGCTGTGGCACAGAAAAGCCGGAGCAGTGTACGCAGCGCACCCTAGCGGCTCGCAGGGATATAGCAGGGAGAAGAGAGCAGGTGGAGACGAAGGGGCGGAAGTCTGGCTGTGAAGTTAGGCAGGCCACTGAAGAGTGTGGATTTCAGTAAGTGCATTCAAATACTAACTAGAAAATAAAGGCAGTGAAGTGCACGGTGTTTGTTTAATATATATTTTTCTGTATATGTATATTATGTATAATATATATGTACAGATATTATGTGAAGAATGCTGGGAAGAAGCCTGGCAAGAGCAGAGACAAGAACAGGTGGAATGTCACTACAAGGGCCGAGCAGGAGCAGTGCCAGCTGCAGAAACAGACCTGGGGAGGTAGGGAAGGGAGGCGCTACAAGTCATGCCCAGCAAGCGGCTGGGGCAAGTCTTCCCGTTAAGTCACCGTGAACCACTGGGTAAGCAACAGGCTGGGATCTGAGACCTGTTCTGGATGTTATTTTTGAGACGCTATTAACGGTTCTCGGGAAGACGTCCTAGAAACAGACGTGAGCGGCTGCATTACCTGCTTAGCTTGGCGCAAGGAGAGCTCTGCAGTCACGGTTACATTTTCCTTAGCCGTGGTGATGCGACAGTACACTGAAAGCCAATCTTCCACATGCTGGAAAAGTCAAGTCTCATTAGCATACTCCTTTTTCGTGCGGAAAGCTGGAAATTTTATCGGAGCAGAAAGCCGCAGCCTTGGCAAAAGAGGTCCAAAGAGGAGGCTAAGGGTGTGTGTGTTGGGGGGTGGGGGGGGTGTTGGGAAGGAGGGGTCCTGGGCCGCCCAGCAAGTGCTTTGGGGGAAACTCAGAGAAGTAGAAGCCGGACACTCACGAACCATTTCAAGGCCTCCTCCCTCCCTCGGGACGGCCAAGCTCACCTGAACCGATTTGTTCCCACAGTAGCGCGTCTTCTTTTTGGTGCAGTTCGTGCTACTCTGCAACGAGAGCCATTGCACACTGGCAATGAAAAAGTCACACTGCGCCCGTCCGCCCTCTCCAAGCTCCCGCGGAGCTTCGCGGCGCGCGGCGGGGCGCTAGGACCCGGCGGGCGCGCGGGCCGGCGGGCACTAGGACCCGGCGGGCGCGCGGGCCGGCGGGCACTAGGACCCGGCGGGCGCGCGGGCCGGCGGGCACTAGGACCCGGCGGGCGCGCGCCTGCGTCTCGGGAAGCCTCGCGATGTTTGCGTTTGAAAGTCCGGGCGGGTGCCGGCCATGGCGGCGTCACTCCCGCGACCCGGGAGCCGGCTCTTCCGAACGTACGGAGCTGCCGGCAGCGGAGAGCCGCTGCGGCGGCCGGGCCGGGCGGCCGTGCAGTGGTTCAAGCCGCAGGGCCGGAAGTGTTTCTTCAGCAGCAGCAGCAGCAGCGACGGTGGCCCCTCGCCCTCTGTCGCCTCCGATGATCCTGACGACCCCGACTTCTCCGGCAGCCCGGTGGGTAGACGGCGACGGCGCGCTGGGAGTCGAGTCGCCCGGGACCAGCCCAGCCCGACGGCGACGCCCCGGCGCCTGAGGCTGCGAGCTCGGCCGCCGCAGAAGTGCAGCACCCCCTGCGGCCCGCTCGGCCCCCCGCCCTTCCCCAGCAGCCACCCGGGCCGCCTCAGCCCGGACCTCAGTGGGTGCCGGCGGCCCACGGACGGCGGCGAGCTGGGTACCAGCGCCTCCCTGTTCAGTTCTCCGGCCTCTCCCGGCCCCGGGTCCCCAGCGCCTGGAGACGGCAGCTTCTGTACGGACCCCTCCGCCTCTCTGGATGCAGCCTCGGAAGGTCCGAGCGACCTGCACTTCCCCGCAGCCACCCTGAACCAGCCACCTCTCCCCGGCTCCCCGGACGAAGCTACGGAGGGAGGCAGGTTCGCCAGGTTGGCTTCTCAAGCCCGTGCCAGCCTCAGGTCAGCTCTGTTTGGTTCTGCGGACTCAGGAAAGCCTGAGGATTCTGAGTTTGGGGCTGACGGGAAGCATATGAGGGATTCTTGCTGGGAGAGGAAACTGTTGGGAAAGAGACCGGAGACCCCAGATCTATCATGCCCCTGTAAGAATGGGACCACACACCAGGGCTCTTATCAAGAGACTGACTCTCGAAGGGCTATCCAGGTAGAATGTGAGGAGGCCAGTGGTTGCAAGGGCTGTCCTGGACCTGGGGAAATCAGCAGGCCTAAGAGAACAGGGCTGAGACGGAAAAGGAAGCATCAAGAGACAGAGGAAAGCTCCCTCCATGGCCACGGGTCTGAAAAAGGCCAGAAGGTGGGCAATGAGTCGTTCCACACCCAGGACCTGACTCGTGTGTTGAATGCCTGCTCATGGACCCAAACCAGAGCTTCCTTCAGTTTCCACAAGAAGAAGGTCGTGACTGCTGCATCCGAGGTGTGCGGCAACAATAGCATTGCCAGTTCTTTCTCTGGGTCCCTCCTAGCAGAATGTTCAAGCCCTCCTGTCATGAACAGAACCAACAGTGCCCTGTCCCCTTGGCACTCCTCATCCATGCATTTGCTAACCCCCTTAAAGGAGCTACATGTTGCAGATAAAAAGGAATTTGATGCTGAAAAGGTTTATGGGGAATGCAACCAGGAAGGTCCTGTCCCCTTTAGCTATTGCCTTCCCAGAGAAAAACTACAAAACTGTGAGAAGATTGGGGAAGGGGTGTTCGGAGAAGTGTTTCAAATAAATGTCAATCACACCCCCGTAGCCCTAAAAATCATTGCTATTGAAGGACCAGATTTAGTCAATGGTACGCAGCAGAAAACTTTCGAAGAAATCCTGCCCGAGATCATCATCTCCAAAGAGTTGAGCCTCCTGGCTGATGAGGTGACCAATCGCACAGAAGGCTTTATTGGGCTGAACTCAGTGCACTGTGTTCGAGGGTCCTACCCTCCCTTGCTCCTCAGAGCCTGGGACAACTATAACTCAACCAAAGGTTCTGCAAACAACCGGCCTGACTTTTTTAGGGAAGACCAACTTTTCATTGTGCTGGAATTTGAGTTTGGAGGGACTGACTTAGAGCAAATGAGTAAAAAGTTGTCCTCCCTGGCTACTGCAAAGAGCATTCTTCACCAGATCACGGCTTCTCTCGCCGTGGCAGAGACCTCACTGCACTTTGAGCACCGAGACTTACACTGGGGGAATGTGCTCTTAAAGAAAACCAGCCTCAGAGGACTCCAGTACACTCTCAACGGAAAGACAAGCACGATCCCCACTTGCGGGCTGCAAGTCAACATCATTGACTACACCCTGTCACGCCTGGAGCGGGATGGAATCGTAGTCTTCTGTGACATTTCCACGGATGAGGACCTGTTCACAGGTGAAGGTGACTACCAGTTTGAGATCTACAGGCTAATGAGAAAAGAGAACAACAACTGCTGGGGTGAATATCACCCTTACAATAATGTACTGTGGCTACATTACCTCACAGACAAGATTCTGAAGCAAATGACCTTCAAGACGAAGAGTAACACCCCTGCCATGAAGCAAATGAGGAGGAAGATTCTGAATTTCCACAGGACAATGCTGAACTTCAGTTCTGCCACAGATCTGCTCTGCCAGCACAGTCTGTTTAATTAAACTGAAGGTGCCTTGACCCCAGACTGAACGAGGACGACTTCTGAAGATCTGCAGCTATTTTCAAATCTCCAGAGCAGAGTGGAATTTCCCATTCTGAATATGTTTCTAATCAGCTATCCAAAGAAGAATTTTGCTTCCGAGAAAAAAACTGAAATGTTTTAACTTGTTAACAAATGTGCTTTAAAAATAAATTACATGGGGACAAGTATGTATAGCTTCTAAGCCCTTTTCCTAACTTAGCAGAGTCCCTTCTGCAAATTCCTTTCCATATTTTCATTTTTGAGTCTTGGCACTTGATGTGCAAAAAGTTAGTAAAGTTCAGGGGAGCTCAAGGCCTCATTTGCCATAGTGACCAGAGCCTGTTGCTGTGTACGGTGAGGCTGACTTGTGCGATGAGATGTCAGCCAGAACACAGGCCATAGCAAAGCTGAGGCCAAAAGAGACAGACTGGGGGAAGAGGGAAAAGGGGGGTGGCAGGCAGTTTATAGGGAGAAGTTCGAGAAACACCATATGCTTACCAAGCTCATTTGCCAGCAGAATTTATCAATTTTCAGTGGAAAAATAAATGTCTCCATAGCTATAAAAGATGCTTTGGATTTTTGCTTTTTTTTCCACCAAGGGAAAGAAAACCAAACTGTTGTTTTAAATGCTGTGCTAGATATTCCTTCTGAGCACGGCCATGGTCATTTACTCCTAATCCTGGTTAACTAATCCTGTGTTTACTCCTTTTCTAAACTATATTTGTTGCTTTTGAGTATCCATAACCAGTCTGGAAAGAGAAATGATGATGATAGAGTAAAGAAACAGAGGTACCTGAGTGGTTGTCAGTTTCCTCACTGTTAGAATCTGGAAATCTCGTAATTTGGTTGGAATACAGATGCACAGCTGGAATTCGGCACCAAAGCGATTTTCCCCTTGTATCTGCAAAATAAAATCAGAGGCGGAAGTCAAGGCTGGTGCTGCTTTACCTTCTGTAGTTTTGCAGGGATGCACATTACACACTTACGTTGAAGAGGAATTCTTTGGTCTCAGAAAGCTGCAGGCTTGTGTTCATGTACGTCACCGATGGTCTGCAATTGAGCGGACTTGTGTTAGGCCTCAAAGCCCCTTTCTTGTTTAAAGCAAACCTGAATGCTACCAATGGGATACACTAGAACAGGAGGTACCACTTAGGAGGAATTAAGACTTTCAGAACAGGTGGTGGCAGGGCAACTGGGGTCAGGTGAGCTATCTGAATTCTGTACACTCGGCCAGTTCTGTGCCGGTTCCTCAGAATGACCTTCCTTTTTCCTCACTTCTCAGTCCCACAGCCCCTCTTCCCTCAGCATCATGTCAGAATCCTTTCGTGGCAAGACCAGTTCACACTGTCCCACTGATGACACCAACTGTTAATGACCTGGAGATAGTGGACGCCTGGGTTCTAAGCTGCCTGCTCTCAGAGAAAGGCTGTGCTCCACCCTGACCATAGTTCCACCCACAAGCGAGAAGGCAAAGCAGCCCTGCAGGTGTTGGCCGCTCTGACACACTTACTTGGGAAGAAGTGCAATGAAAGCGTGCTTGACAGGAAGGCTGTGAGTGTTCATAGCCGAAGACTTTTTTTCATTGAAACTAGGAAATAAGAGTGTCCATTCATAGCACAGCTGCTTTGTACACATGGCTGCTTCTGGACCTTGGCTTCCCAGGGTCAGTGGCAGTCAGATAAGACCGGGAGAGGGATGTGTGAAATGGGATGAATTTTATGCTAATAAACAAAAGTTAAACTTAGGTGACCATATTGTAATATATACAGATAATGGAACTGTAATGTCAAATACCTGAAACGCTATAAACCAAACTTAATAAGAAATAATGGAGCTATACAATTAGAATACAACAGACTCACTGGGAGATCACACTTGGAGAAACACTGATTTTAAAAGGGCTTCTCAACACTGACATTTTGAACCAGATAACTCAGTGATACATTGTAGGGCATTTAGCAACTGCCCATTAACTGCCAGTAGCAGCCTTCTTCCCTCCCCCAAGGCATAGCAGGTTTTAAAAATGTCTCTAGGAGAACTCACTCTCTGTTAAGAACCTTCCCACCCCACTTACCTCCTCTGTTCCCCAAACATACATAAAGGTTTTACAGATGACAGAACTTTCTGAAGTTTAAAAGGACCAGAATTAGAACCCCAGCCCCAGGCTTGTTCTGTCCATACCAGACTATGTCATAGTTTTACTGTGTGTGTCGATGAAAGACCCTTTGGTGATCTTTGATAACAGGCAGGGAAAACTCAGTCATGGCAGGGGGACAGGGTCTATCTGTGGGCTCACTGAAGTTCCCACCTTCCAGGCAGTGAGGGACACGGTTTCCTCACATACATGGAGGGAGAGTTCTTCCAGGGCCACTCCCTCAGCTTGCTGCGACATACTTTACTTACTTGGTGACTGCCACAGTGATGCTGGCTGTCTTGCTTGGGAAGGTGGTCTCCTCTAGCTGCCACACCACTGAAATGTTTGCCTGTCATTTAAAAAAAAAAAAATGTCACCCTCTGTTCGGTTTCCTCACAGTCCACCTATAAGTGATACCGCCCAGTATTTCTCTTTTTCCTTCTGAGGTATTTTGCTTAGATTATCCCCTCCAGGTCAGGAAAAAGACAACACTTACAAGCTGATCAGAGATCTGAGGCATGGGAGGGGGGGTGGAAGGGGTCAAAATGGGAGGGAAGAGCATGAGGGCCTGTGGTGGTGATGGGTCCTGGGTGCTGTGGTGGCGTCAGAACCATGGGGACTACATCTGAGGGGAGAAGTCAAATACTGTACAAAAATGAACCATGATGTAGGGATACACTTTTTTTTCTAAGTCACTGATTCTTCTCTCTACCACTTGCAGTTCTGTTTCCTACTGCTACTCCCTGCTTCCTAACTGCTTCTTACTATCAAAGAGGCCTGGGAAATACCACTCAGGTCCATGTTTTCGTAGCACAGCCTGCTTCCACATCCCTTATTCCACATAAGCCTCACCAGAATAATCAGGGCGGAGGCGGTCCCCCTTTTCACAATGGAGGAAACCGCTGCAGAGGTTTCCCGCTGCCCTGAGATGGTCCATGATAGGCCATGACCTGCCCTCAGGACTATGGGGTGTGCCGTCTATACCACCCCCAACTCACTCTGCTGTGCTGGGGTGAGCCAGCAGCTTGTCGAAACCCATGTCCCCCACCCCAGTGCTCCCTCCTCTCAGCAAACTTGGCAGTTTTAAGCAGGGTTAGGGATTGACTGGAGAGTGAAAGGAAGTCAAACGTGACTCAGACTGACTGGGATGTAGGCACCAGCCTCAGTCGTGAGGAAAGTTAGCCAGACAAAACAGACTCACAGATGACCTCTTGAATATGGGGTGAGCAATCTTGCAGTTCATGACCAAGGTGGAAGCAGCTGGCTTCGGGTCATCACACTGAATGGTATGAGAAGGAGGCTGTGAACACAGAAGATACTATTACTAAAAGGGGAGCGGGATCGTTTCCTCACACCAGTTAAACATACAGATTTTTTTTCACACACCAGATACCATGCCAGGAGCTGGGACACTCGTCAGACTGTCCCTGTCTTCCTCATGAGCTGGGTAAGAGGGACCATGTAGGTAGTTGAGGAACTGAAATCCAGGCCTGGGAAGTGGCTTTGTGAAAGCAGTGCAGTGAGTGAGGAGCTTTAGAGGAAGATGGATTCCAACTGGGATAGGTCTGTAAAGTCTTCGTGATGGGGAAATTGTTGTTGCAGATGGGCCTGTGCAAATGCAGCCCCCACGATGGGCAGAAGCCAGCACCACGTACAGCCCTCACAACTGTGCTTCCTCATCCCCACTGAGTACACTGATCTGAGTGACTGTTTTCAGTCTTCACATGTTCCAGGGGAGACACTTAGGGGGTCATATGCTTTTTATATAATGGATGCTTGTCCTAGCCTAGGTCACCTAAGACCACCAGGGACAAACCTGTAGTTTTGTTAAGGGGAAGGCTGTCCTTAAGGAACTCTGCAGTCTTGTGGACTCCACCCCCTACTCCAGCTTTCTGGACCCTACACCCTACTCCAGGGATTGGAAACTACAACTCCCAGCAGTACCAGGGAGAGAACTGCAAGGACCCAAGGGCGGAGCTAGCAGGGATTCTGGGACATTGGGGGATAAATACCAAGTGATTGCATCTCTCTCTCCCTCTCTCCCTGGAAACGGCCCTCCAGACCTGTGTGGTCAGTCAGCCTAGCCATAAGGTATCCCAGTTACTTTGTATCCTGCTCTCTTTCCCTGGGTTGTTTCCTATTCCTCTCCCCTTTTGTAAATAAACCCATTATTGACCCCTTTGTGTATACCTGCAGTGTAACTGAATATTGAACACAGGGGTGAGGCCCCACAGGCAGGTGGCCCAGTCCACTCTGGGCTACCCTGTAACAGTATGACAAAGGTGGGTGGTCTATCTGACCAAACAAAGGGAGTGTTACAGCATTCTGTGGAAGTGGGGAGTCCAGTGAAATGAAACAATGTTTGAGCGGCTCAAAGCAAAGCAGGGCTGTGTGTAAACCAGTCAGTTAACATCAGTTCTGCTCTGAAATGTGGTCCCAGGAGCCCATCCCTTGGAAACTGTTAAGACAGGTGTGGAAGTTGTGTCCAGATTCTTTCATCTGAAGCTCTGTGCTTCACAGGGAATTGAGGCAATGTCACTTCAAGTGACTTAGACTCTGGCAAGAGTGAGTGAGTTTCATAAGTATGGGTTTAACTTTAAGCAGTGAAGTCTCTGATGGTCTGTTATTTTACAGAACAAAATCTGTGTCAACATACCCTATAGCTGTGGGGGGCCTTGAGAGAAATGCTGATTCATATTAACTTGGAACTAATTGGCTTTGTGTCTGTGATCTCAGCTGAGAAATGTCAGGGCTGAGTTTTATTTTCCCAATCCAGCCTCATTTATTAGAGATGCCCTGTCTCTTGGAATCTTGGTTGAGAAAGACTGCAGGCAGGGAGGGGGCAATTCTGCAGCGAAATGGTCTGTTGACGATCAGCAAGGTAGAGTTGTGTGGCTGGGGATTCATCTAGCTCATGATCACTGAGTAGATGGTTAAACGGGAGGAGGAAGGCCCATTGGGAGGAAGTCTCAGAGAAGCAGACAGGTGGGGAGAAAAAGCCAGGGTGGTGTGCTTTCAAAACTGCCATCATGGTTACCTTTTGTATCCTTTTAAACTGTAAGTTTCTGGAGTAATTTAAAGTCATGCTTGTCATGTAAGAGTCTTCTCCAAAGTTAACTAGGCTGATGTTCATGACCAGCTCCTTTGTGATTCCCACCACCAACTTCTGCCTGCACAGGTTGGCAAATAGACGTGTTACAGTTAATTTAATCCATAAAAAACCACAGTGCAATATGGTAGCACATTCTTAGATCAACTGTATAAATCATTCACCCAGCCTAGATTGTCTTTCCTCAACTAAGTAAATACCCCGACTGCCACCCTTTCCTCAGCCACTATGGGAGCTGATGATAATGGTGACCGTCTCTTTAGTGCTTACTATGTGCCAGGAATTGTTCTAAGTGCTTCTCCTACTCAATTAACCCTCATAATAATGCTACAGAATAGAATATTTAATCTCCATTTCCTGGAGAAGGAAACAGGAGCCAAGACAGGCTAACTAATTTGAAGTTTAGTGGTTTCAAAAGGGAGTTGGGAAAATCAGATCTAGTTCCTCATTCTACCACCAATTCACTGTGGCCCTAGGCAAGGTGCTTCATCACCCAAATTCATCCATTTCACACGCACCTGCAGGAGTCTGCTCTGTGCCACATACCCTCCTTCACACTGGAGGTCAGCGCTCAGGACACAGTGTCCCTGCCCTTTCCCTGCCCTCTGCTTTCCTGCCCACAGAATCACTCAGGTCCTTCTCCCTTCATTGTGGGGTACTGTGGGGCCCCACAGCACAGAGCTACTCCACGTAATTGAGATTGACAGGCAAAAAGGACAACTGAAATGTTCAAAGACGAAATGGGACAGAAGCCAGAGATGGCCAGGCCGTACCTGCCTGCAGACCAAAAAAGAGAGTCGCGGGCAAACCAGAGGGTGATGAGTTCAGTTTGGAGAGTGGTGAGAGGTGCCTGTGCCATAATCAGGTCAGCTGGGTATACTCTTCAGAGCCCACAAAAGATCCAGGCCACTGACATATTCTAAACTGGGTGTGAGGAGCAATTGCAGAGGACCCTGGATGCAAACACTTACGCAGGCACACGTGGTCATCCAGAGAGAAGGGTCTGCAGTTTGCCTTGCGTTTTTTTTTTTTTTTTTTACATCTATATCTAAACAAAAAGGTCCAAAACCACTGAGACTACTAGCGTGCTAAGAATTCAGCTCAGTAGAACCTTTGGAACGAGACTGCTGTGTACACTAGGGGGTGGTGGAGAGCCAGCTGTGCCGCCTCACAAGAAGTTGGCTGGGAGGGCAGCTCTTGGCTGTAATTAATTTCCTGTTGGAAACAGCTGTGTCTGCTTGTTAGGCTGGAGTCCAAAGCACTTAAAGGTCTTGAATCAGATCCTCAATGATTGAGATGGGCAGGCTAAGCTGTCCACAGTTGAAACACAAGTCCTGCAAATGTCTACGAGAGGGCTTACCAGGGCTTGGAGAACAGTCCTTCCCCCAGGTGCCAATGCTGGCCCACTCGCCAGCAGCGCCAGGTGGCACACACAACGCGGGTTACCAGGAGGGCATTGTAAGGCCATCCATCTCCAAGCCAAACTCATACAGTCTCTCCTTTCCAACTCTTCCAGAAGCTTCCCAGCTTTAGTTGGCGGCACCTCCATCATTCTAGAACTCAGTGTTGTCTGACAAACTCTTACAGTAACAGAAGTGGGCTGTGCTGTCCCATGTCACTAGCCACAGGTGCATATTCAACACTTGAAGTCCACTAGTGCAAATGAGGAACTTAAATGTTCCTTTCAGTTCATTTAAATTCAAATAGGCAATTGCCACTACAGCCTGCAGTATTGAACAGCACCGCCCCTAGACGCTAGGGCTGCAACTTTGAAGGCTTTAGTGAAGTAGTCAGACCTTTTTGGTCACTAGCCTCTGTGCTAATGCAGAGGGGGCCTGGGAGCGTGGACGCCTGGAGCAGGGGTGTGGGCATGCGTCAGTGTGCAAACTGGAGCCTAGAGGCCAGGACTGTAAGGGCAGCGACACTCAGCACAGAGGACAAGAGACGACAGAAGAGGTAAGACTAACATGCCAGAGAGAGTAAAGATTCATGGGGTGGGGAGGCTCGGATGCTCCCCCACCTGGCCCTTGGCTGCCTCCTTGTGTACCAGCCCATGTGCCAGTGGACTTGGCTCCCTGAGAGCATTAAAGCCTGAAAACCCACTGAGGGCTCCAGGACTCCTTTATCAGTCTGCTCGAATTGATAGGGAACCTGCCCTGTGCCTGCACAACTTCCTAGACCCCTCGCTTTCTCATTCCCACATCCAACCTGTTAGTAAATCTGGTGGAACACAAGTTCCAGGGCCCTCCCTGGCGGTGCAAAGGATTAAAGCACACCAAAACCAACTGAGCCACGGCCGCTTCAGCATGAATTCGATCCCCACCCTGGAGGTGACCCACATGGCGTGGCAGACCTCTCCTGACCTGCCCGCTGCTCCCCTCAGCAGTGTGCTTCGTCAGTCGCCCTGTTCTGCTCCCCACTCTGCCTCTGGTGAATCCTCTCACCGCCCCTGCGCCTCTGCCCTGTACCCCACTTCTGTATGCATAAATAAATCTTTAAAAAAGAAAACAAGTTCCAAGTAGAACCAACTTCACTGCTGCCACCCTGACCAGATGCCACCTCCGCTCACGTGGGTGACAACTCCTTCCCGCTGCCCAGCTGTGCCTTTGTCCCTACAGCCTATTTGCAACACATAAGCGTGATCTTGTCAAAGTGCAAGACCATGTCACTGCTCTGGCTCCCCAGATCACAGTGAAAGCCCCCGTGGAGGGCCGCCTGATCCGGCCGCTTCTCCCCGTGTGTCCCCTCTCCCCCACGTCACTGAACTACACCAGCATCCAGGCTGTCCTCCCTCCTGCCAGCAGGCTCCCATGTCAGGCTTCCTTCAGAAACCCACATGGCTCACTGCTCCACCTCCTCCTGCGCGTACCAGAATGTCACCTCAGAAAACCTGTCCCTGGACAGTCAGTTTAAAACTGTACTCCCTCCCACCTTCCCTGCCTTATTTTTCGTCAAGTACATCCTCCCTGACAGGACTTTATTATCTTCTCCCCTTAAAAGCACCAGGGCAGGGATTTTTGTCTGTGTGATTCACTGGATTGCTTGGCACAGAGTGGATATTCCATAAATAGTTAATGAATTCATTAAATAAGAGGACTAGGAAGTGCATCAAGGAAACAATTACTTCCCCCTGAGGCAGTCCTAGGAACAGGAGACCCTGGGCGATGCAAATAACATCATGGGGGATAATGACCACTGTGATCCCAACAGGCCCTCAACTACTGAGTCTGCTCCCTAGTGAGATGGTAAACCAAAACCCTTTGTGGGTCACTAGAGGAAGTGGGCAGTCAGTTGTGGTGGGGGTGTGGGGGTGCCCAGGTAAGTCCTCAGGAAGAGGCCAGTGGCAGAAATGCTGATGAACAGGTCCACTCACGGAGAGACGGTGGAGGTCAACCGTAAGTCAGCGATGCAGTAGAGTTTATTCCTGCAGTCCTTCTCGTAGGGCAGCTGTAACCAGACAGAGGGGCAGGGTCAGCCAGATGGCACACCCCCACCAACCTCGCTGCACGAGCCCCCCAAGAACACGCCTGCCCCTGCTGACTCGGAGAAGGGACACTCCGGGGAGCTGGAGGAAGGGGGGCAAAGGCTGTGCCCTTGGCCAGGAGAGCGAGGGCCTGATCGGCCCTGTGAGGACAGTGGGTCCTACAACACAGGCACACCACAGGTTTGGCCTCTGACCAAGGCGAAAACAGGCGGTGGCCTTCGTGGAATGTGGGAAAACCAAGCTCTCGTGTCGTGTGAATTGAGAAGCAATATTCACAACCTGGAACATGCTGAGAGGAAAGCCCTGGAAAGGGAAGCTTCCTGAGCCCAGCCAGAAGAGGCCAGAGCAGCAGGACACAATGAGGGATACCCAACCAAATATGTCAAGGTCCTGCGGGGCCCTCTGGCCCCGTGGCTAGGGCCTTTTGGGGGTACTAACTAGTCCCCTTACACTCTTGCCTACTACTAACACACTAACTCCATTTTTTTTAATTTGTTTTTTTCTAACAACTAATTCAGATAGTCACATAGGGCCCGAAAGACTCAGTCCAGGTTCAAAGATATTTGAACTAACTTTATAAAGGAATTGGGTCATGAGGGGAAGAGGGAAGAATTTTATTATGAAGGAAATTACTAACACACTGACTCCATTTTTTTAATTTGTTTTTTTCTAACAACTAATTCAGATAATCACATAGGGCCCAAAAGACTCAGCCCAGGTTCAGAGCTATTTGAACAAATTTTATAAAGGAATTGGGTCATGAGGGGAAGAGGGAGGAATTTTATTATGAAGGAAACAGCCAGCTCCTTCGCTGGGGAGTCTGTGTTGCTCTCCCCATTGCCAATGATTTCCTCAGCAACTTTTTGCACAGGCTGTTACCATGACCTGGATCAAGCATGCGAACCCAAAACTAGAAAGAAAGTCTACTTCCTGGAGAAGGAAGATGCATTTTGCAGAAATGAGAGCTTGGAACTCTGACTGGGTCAAAGTTTAGGAAGATATTTTTAGTTTTGTTTTTAATATAGCCAAGTAAGCTGTTTTCTTTCACACAACCCCAGAGAAAGAGGGCTAAACCCGCCTAAGCTCTGAGCTAGAACTCATCCTCCAGAGACTTCTATCCCTAACCTAACACCAAAACATTGCTCCTAACTTGTAATTTTCATTTAACAATAAATGGCAGTTTCTTGGAAAAGAAAATCACTTCTCACCCATTCTATCAATGTGGCCATGCAAGAGAATGTCTTTGTGTTTTTAGGAAATATATACTAAAGTACTGAGGGGTGATAGCTCTGTAATTTACACCCAAATGTTTCAAAAATATAAATGTGTATAATATGTTATAGTGTATGTATATTAAAATGAGGTAGGTACGAAAGAGAATAATAAAGCGAATGTGATCAAATGTTAACATTAGCATTTGGGGAATCTGGATAAAGAATGCCTAGTTCTTTGGACTATTTTTATAACTTTTCAGGAGGTCAAATATACCAAAATGAAAAACAGAATATAAGGGTGGCTAGTTAGTTCAGTTGTTTAGGTTGTGGTGCTTATTTAAAAAAACAGAATAAATACACTTAGTGATAAGCTGCTTATACACAAACTGTCATCACATTAATTCTTCCAACCATTTGTGAACCATCTAATCTGTCACACCAAAATTATTGTAATTCTTTACAAAATAAATATACTATTATAAATTTAGAGTAAATTCTCTTGTCACGCTCAAGGAACCTGATTATGCCTCTACCTGGGCAGGTGAGCAGGGACAGGGTCACCGGTCACGTCACTCTCCTTTCTCTGTGCTATCTGTGACTGATACTGATAGTGCCCAAAGCTGGCGCTAAAGATTTACATACTTTCTTTGCTCTAGAGAAAATCTGTAAAAATATTGGACAGTCATGGGTATCCTATGATTACTTGGAAAAGATATTCAGGTTGCCTAAAGTTTTCTCATACCAGCAGGAACTAATTTTGGCTTTATATTTCTGGAGACTCGGTTCATTCCAAGCGACTAAAATTGTGATTACTTTTTAAGGCTCAAGTTGTTTGTCACTTCTTTGGCCCTTGTTTAAATGAAGACTAACAGAATCCCCTAGGGGCCAGGGCCTGGGTGGGGACAAAATCACCTTAAAGGTCATAGAATTGGGAAACTTGACTGTTTGTTTTCTCCCTCTGCTTCCTCTGACTAATGAAAATGTTCCTGTGCCATCCCTGGCCTGCTAGAGAACAGGTTTGGTGGGCAAGATATTCAGCCCAAAGGCCCCACAGGCGGCTGCATGGGCAGCTTGGCTCCCGTCCAGTTCCTACCCAGGACCCCACCACACCATCGTCACAGCATATTAAACTTCATTAAATGTGCAGCCGGCACTTTTTGTGAACATAAAAGAACTAGCATTGGGATGGTTTGGAGACCTATGGACTGACCAGTGAAATCCAGGCAAATGAGCAAATGAACTCAGTTTCCCCATTTGTTCAGTGCTCTGAAGACCCTCCCAACTCTAACATTCTTTGAAGTTAGGGAGCAGGTAGTTGGGGGCGACTCCCAGAGGGTCTTATCCTGGCTGTGGGCTGAGTCACCTGGAAGATGGCAGAGGGCTCCGTGTAGTGGTCCAGGATGGGCTGGGCACTGTCCCCTGGGTCCCTGGGCGCGTGCAGTTGGTAGCTGACCTTGATGCTGATACTGGAGAAGCAGTCTTCCTCACAGAGCTGACAGTAATGGAAAAGGACAGTACTTACAATGTTGACAGAGTCATAAGAACTAATCCACCAAGTGGTGAGTCAGAAGCCCTAACTATCTTTCAAATAAACTAAGCCAAAGGGAAATTTCTTCCAACCAAGCTCAGGGAGCCCTGGAAGAATATTCTGATCTCCTGGAGCCTAAGGCCCCATAACACTTTCTGGTACCAACACCAATCACTAAAGGAGCCAGGTATCATGTCCAGAGCTCTAGGCCCTGCCAGGTCCTGAATATCAACAAACATACATTATCATGTCTCTTGGCACCTTTATCTGGAGGAATTTTTTTTTACATGGGTTAATTATTTTTTTTAAGATTTATTTTTTATTTTATGCATACAGAACTGGGGTACAAGCCAGAGGTGCTGGGGCGGTGAGAGGATTCACCAGAG